GAACACGGTCCGCAAGTTCAACTAGTATGGATTTTCTATAATTTTCTAACTATTTTCTAAGTTTATATTTATATATATACTATGTTTGGGTACGGTGATTGACAGACTACTGCGACGATATCGGGACATATGAATAAATAACCATCCGTACTAGTTGAACTTGTTTACGTGATCATCTCGGCGAGCATTTCTCCACCGGACGGCACCGTACTTGGCCACAGAAGAGCTCTGATTCTACGAGGAAGGGAACACGGTCTTCCACGACCGTTGCCGTTCTCCCTCGTAGAATCAAAGCTCCTCCTTGACATCCGTTACCGCTCGGCAGAGAACGTGCTCGCCGAGATGAACACGATCCGCAAGTTCAACTAGCTACTTTAACCTTATTTCATGTAAATATGCAAGCTTGAAGTGATTTTGAGCTCAAATTGCTTACAAATGAAAAAAACCACAATAAAGAACCATATATATATATAGTGAACAAAATGAGATAAGACAATGGTGAAAAATGAGAGTATGAGATTGGTAACCTTTACAACTGAAGAATCGACAGAGGAATCGAAGAAATCGACGGAGGAATCGAATAATGGATGGAGGAACAATGGAGGGAGGGAGGAAGCAAGAACACTAGTGCAGTGAGCTTCAAAATGTGCTGAGCTCGGGCTCGGGGAGGAAGAAGGAGACGACCGGGATATAAAGGGGGGACGTTTAGTCCCGGTTGGTGGCTCCAACCGGGACTAAAAGTAATGTTTCAACCCAGGCGCAGCCACGGCCCGGAGTAGACCTTTACTCCCGGTTGGAGCCACCAACCGGGAGTAAAAAGTATACCTTTAGTCCCGGTTGGTGGCTATAATCGGGACTAAAGGTCCCCGCCACCACTGTCTGGGCAGAGTAGCCGTTAGGCGAGGACCTTTAGTCCCGGTTGGAGACACCAACCGGGACTAAAGGTATTTCTAGTCCCGGGTGTAAAAAATTCCGGGACTAAAGTCCATTTTGACCGAGGATCAAAGGTCTGTTCTCTACTAGTGAGTCCTTTGAAGACACTCCCAAAGCCTCCTTTACCAAGAAACACACTGTCCTTGAACCCACTGGTAGCTGCAAAGAGGTCATTGTAGGTGAAGGATGGAGCCCCATACTCCTTCTCCCACTCTAGTTCAGTTTTTCTTGCTTGTAGCCGCCTCTTCATATGGACCATGAAAAGAGAAGCAGAAACCACTATAGCAATTCCAAGAGTTGGTAAAATAGTTGCTAACAATATTGTCTTGTTGCTGCGAGGGCGAGAATGAATTTGTGCAGCAGCAGGCACTCGTGGCGGCACAAGGTCTTCGATAGTACTCAAACATAGGGCAGAGTAGTTGAGCGGTGCAGCAAAGAGGAATAGTACAGAGGAGAGAAAAAATACAAAAGCTAGTTTCATCTTTGATGTTTCACTACTACATAAACTTCCATCGCTGCCGGTTGCTAAACCTTTATCATTATGGGATTGGCAGCCGGCAATGGGTATAGTGGCAGTGATATATATAGTCTCATTTATCACTGTCGGGGTAAGCGACCAGCATTGTTGCCATTTTTAACACAATACATAATAAAAGTAAAAAAAAACAGCAGCTGCCGAGCCCATGCGCCATCGGACCCGAGTTGCTGACTAGAACCACTTTTTTTTAAAAAAAAATGCAAATTAAAAAGAGTTAAAAATAAATACGTCAACATGCAAAGTTTGCATTTTATAAGACACAAGACCACAGAAGTGTTTGGTCATGACAAGCAAACACACATGCTTATGCAAGCTCGGCTTATGCTCGAACAACACCTACTCCTGTATATATATACTACATTCGCCTCAAAGAAGAATACAATTCTAGGTCGGCTCAAAATCAAACTATATTAAATTTGATTAAACTTATAGAAAATAGTATTAACATGTATGATTCTAAATAGATATGCTATGAAAATACAGTGTGCTTCGTGACGAATCTAATAGTACCCATTAAGTGCGATAAATATAAGTATCTGTTTTTAGAAAATAGAGGGAGCAACAAACAAAAGGCTCGTAGAAGTCCAATGTGTTAACTTCTAAAAAAACAAAGTATGAACGTGACAGATCCATAGTTATCGCTCAAACCCATGTGCATGGTTAGGATTGCGACAAGGGCTGACCATTAGGCCATTAAGTGCGTGGATCGTCATACGGCCAGGGGCAATTATATTGTTCGAATCAAGGGAAAAAAAAGTCTCTTTTATAAGCTCGGCCGGCACACCATCCGCCTCTTCCTTTATTTTAAGTAACATGGCCATATATAAGAGATGACAAATCATCGGGAGTAGGATCAACTTATACGAAACTAAAATATTTTTATTATTATTATGGGCATCCTATCGGTGTGCAAGGGTCGTTGCAACAATTACTAAGAAAGGGACTTCTACGAGCAGGCCCCAAAAGAAAATTTAGACCCTGTTTGAAGTCGTTGCTTTGATAGAAGCAAGAGAAACTCGAAAGTTCAATTTTTTTTTTCTAGGACTTCTTCCTTTAAATATAACAGGCAGCTTTTCTACGTGTTCTATTTCAAAGAAAAATATAAAAGTACGTAAAGTATATTACCTCCATCACAAATTTAAAACATTTCTAGTTGTGTCCGGTCCTAAATCAAATTATTTTCCATTAAACAAATATGTAAAGAGAATTTAACATTTATGACAATAAATTTGTAGATCATCGCCAAGACCACCACCTGCAGGGGCTTTCGGAGGAGCCTTAAGAAAGCGTCATCAAGAAGCCCCGCGTGCATGGCAAAAAGGGGCCTTCGGGACAAGGCCTGACCTCCTCCAACAAAGGAGGAGGCCCAAGGAGTGAGGCCACCCAACACCGGCTCGAGAAGGGCCCATTAGGTAATACGTTTTTAGAGAAGAAATGCCCCTTCATCCCTTGTGACTGTAACACGTCAGATATCCTATAAAAAGAATATTATGGTATATTCTATAGTAAGTAGAGAGTTTTCTTGTACCGAGAAAAGTTATACGTAACTGTATCCTATAAAAAGGGGACTCAGATATCGAGAAAAATGAGAGAATCAATTCTATCAACCACCATTTAGTTTGTCGTCTCGGTAATAATGCTTGTTGTTTTGAAGGTTCTTACCTTGGGCCTGAACCTCCGGGCCAACATTGGTGCCCGCCTTGGTTGGCTGAAATAACGCTTATGCCACCTAAAAGGAAGTTAGCTGTACCGCCAAGACCATGGCCTAACACTCAAAGCGCATACACCACACCACTCGACCTGGCAAGACAGCCGTCAAGTGAGAAACAACCAGAGTCATTCCACCGAATTTATTAGGGTGTGTTTGGTTGGTGGAATCATCTCATACTTCATGAGGTGGTGCATCATGAGTTCATTCTATGAATTTTAGTGGAATCAATCAAATCCTCCTGCATATACTCATTATTAGCTTTATGAGAAATTAGGTGGTGATGAATCAACCCATTCCATTTCATAGACCAAACAAAAAACTAAAGAACGGGTAGATGATGAGCCACCACATTCCTCAGACCAAACATGTCCGAGGAAGAAATGGACCATGATACACCATCTCATCTAGGATGGATGGAGTGATTCTTTAAATCAAACATCCTATAAGTGCTTCACAAACAAAAAATTGAGTGTAAGTCTAATATTTCCACTCTTTGGTGTGTTGCTAGTGGTGGACTGATGGAGCTTTGTATATGGTTATGAAAATGTTTCGGTGAAACGTGTGCGCCGCGTCTACCAATCTTTTTTTTTTTTTTGACAACATCTATCTACCAATCTTTGGTACGGAGACAAGGTGCAAAGTGGACCTTTGGGACTCAAACCAATTCGTAGCACACCTAGTCAATCAGTTGTCACTAAATAAAACATATCAACAGTGCGTTCGTATGGCCACCATTAACTATATTTATTGTCTTAGCGACCACTGGTTGCGATCCAATGGATGATTATTTATATTTATTGATTACTAACTGTATGTTTGTTCGTCGTCGCTCGTCGGCGTGGAATCTTTACCAGTCGGCCAGCCAGCCCCGCCCGCCCGCCCGCAGATACCAAGACGGAGGGAGTTGATTTCAAAAAAAAAAAAGTCATCCATTTAGTATATGACCTAGCAGGTGGGCCACATTCATTTTTAAATTCATGAGAGAAGAGTCGACTCTGAAAGGCTGGAATCTTCCATTCAGTATATATTTCATTTCATTTCATTTCATTTCATTTCGTCAGCTCCTCTGGACCCCGTCCAGAGTTGACATTGCTTCGTTCCGCTCGTCGTCCTCTCCATCGTGGGAGCGCAGCTGGGCGGCGGCGGTAGCCTTGAACCGAATCAAGCAACAAGGCAGCTGATTCCAGCCGGCGTTGTGCAGGCGTTCAGCGTCACAAGCACACAAAAAAGTGGGAAACCAAGTTTTCTGCTGCCCAAGCAGGTTCGTGGCACTCACTAGTCACTAGCGACGCAAAGCCAAGAGCAGTCGTAAGTTGGCGTGGTTATGGTTTAATTGCTCATGTTTTGCGCGGGAAATTCCTTCTCCGTTGCTTTGTATTCAGTTTACTCATGTGTATTTCGTCTGGGTCTTTGAATATATAGTGCACAAAGAGGGATTTCGAAATGGAATGGATGGAATGACATGTTTCTCCATTCCAATCAAAGTGAAGCTGCAGTAGACAAGCCTCAGTTACTGATGGTCCCATGATTCCCGTTTTGATGACTTCATACCGATGCTAAAAAGGCTCTAATCCAGGTATGCATGCTGCTGGGACACCCTGGCCCCAACATGTGTTGTATATGTTACTAGTATGGATTATTCAGTTAATTTTCTTTCTTGATGAAAGAATTATTCAGTTGTTGAATAAGTGCCTCACCAATCTTTCTACAGGATGCTTCGCTTGGCATATATATCTCACATAGATATTAATTCATGATTGCTCGGTGCTTGCTGCTCTGTGACAAGGATATATATACACCAGCTAGCTAGGAAAATCAATGGAGATCGTGACAGGTGCATTGAGCACCCTACTCCCCAAGCTTGCCGTGCTTCTGACCAGCCAATACAACCTGCAGAAAAAACTGAGGGACGATATCACGTTCCTCAAAGCCGAGCTGGAGAGCATGCAACCTGTCCTAGAAAGGGTTTCAGAGGCTCCAATAACAGACAAGCAGATTATGATATGGGCAAGGGAAGTGAGAGAACTGTCATATGACATCGAAGACAGCATCGACAAATTCATGGTGCACATTGAGGACAACCCATCAGCAAAGCCGCGTGGATTTGGGGGGTTCATTCATAAGAGTTTGAAGTTGTTGACAACAGCCAAGCTTCGCCATACTATTGCCTCAGAAATCACAGGCATCAAGGAGCTTGTCTATGAGGTGGCTTCGAGGCATGAAAGATACAAGATTGACACTGCCTCTTTTGTCCGACCAGACAACACAACAATTGACCCTCGGCTGATGGGTATTTACGAAAGGACTTCGAAACTTGTTGGCATCAGTGGCCCACAGGACAAGTTGAAGGAGTTGGTAATGGAGCCAGAAGGCACGTTGAATCGTCACCTAAAAGTGGTCTCGGTTGTTGGACCTGGTGGTTTGGGCAAGACAACACTCGCCAATATCATGTATCAACAGCTTAGAGAGCAGTTTGAGTGTCATGCTTTTGTATCAGTGTCTCTTAATCCTGATTTAAAGAAGATTCTGTGCAGCATTCTCCGCCAAGTTACAAAAACCTTTATTCCAGCATTGAAGCATGGCCTGTTGATGAAATTATCTACAATACAAGACTACATCTTGAGGATAAGAGGTACACAAGTCAACAAATGCTTACCTTAAGTTGCACCAACCTATGCTTCTAAAATCCAATTTTCTTTGTTCTGTACTCAAGAACGATGAAATATTTGGTACATAATAAGATATAAACAAAAAACAATTGGTACAGCGTAAGCAAGTTAGCCAAACAGAATAGGTATATATCCATGTGAACTAATATTATTTTTAAGAGTAAATATATCTTGGATGGAAATGTCAAGTTGATGAAGATACAAATATCTTTGTTGCTGGCCGTTAAGAGTACATCTATTTAGACCAATCCAAAGTTTGTTTAGTCCAGTTTTCAAATTAAACCACCTAGTTTTGTGATTCATGGAGATTTTAGTTTCCGTACTTCAAGCCCATGTTTTACTGTATTATAATCTATACTCTGATTCGGTACTCCAAGTGTTAATGCTTGTATGGTCAACATCTTTTTCATATATGCACACATATTTTAAGTCTAGATTTCTGAATTTGGTTATTCACTATTCTGCTCAGATTTTTTTGAGTGTAAATTCACATCAAATTTATCTTCCTTTTTTTTGTCTTGTCTTCGCTGGACCTTTTCAATGGTGACCTTGGTACTCACTAGAGAATTATCAAGTTGTGCTTTTATTTGGATTTGTTATTACTTGTAATTCTGATTGGATAAACTATCTATTTAGTATTATGTCATTTCTCATATGAAGCATCGCTGCTTTTTAGATGTGGTTCTTGTCTATTCCTTTACTAATTACTACTGGTAAGGATTACATCACAAATATGGGGAATTCATTTTGTTGTCCTCACTTACTATTTTGTATCAAAGCATCCAAATTTCTCCTGATTAGTTGGTAATATTTTCATTTTACCTTGTCTACTTTGTTAATTTTCCTTACAAAACAACAGGTACATTATTATACTTGATGATATATGGGACAAATCAGCTTGGGATCTTATCAAGTGTGCATTAGTTGACAACAACTGCGGCAGTAGAATAATTACAACGAGTCGTGTACTTGATGTTGCTGCGTCGTGCTGCTCAAAAGTTGATGGTTGTATCTATAAACTAAAACCTCTTTCCCATGATGATTCAAAGAAGTTGTTCTACAGAAGAATATTTGGATCTGAAGATAGTTGTCTCTTAGAACTGAAGGAAATGTCAGAGAAAATTTTAAGGAAGTGTGGTGGAGTACCATTAGCCATCAACACTATAGCTAGCTTATTGGCAAGTAAGCCAAAACATATAAATGAATGGTACAGTGTGCACAATTCTATAGGTTCCGGACTTGTGAAAGAAACTAGTGTGGAGAATATGAGGAAGATATTATCTATGAGTTATTACAGCTTACCTTCCAATCTAAAAGCTTGCTTATTGTACCTAAGTATATTCCCAGAGGATTATACCATATCAAGAGATCAGTTGATCCGCAGATGGATATCTGAAGGCTTTATTCCTGGAGAAGATGTGGTTACTTCATATGAACATGCAGAAAATTATTTCAGTGAACTCATTAACAGAAGCCTGATAGAACCAGAATATGTTGACAGTCATGGCAGGGTGCTAGATTGCCATGTACATGATATGATACTTGATCTCATCACATCTTTGTCATATGATGAAAATTTTGTCACTGCATTACACGGTCAGCAATCCACATATATGCCAAACAAAATTCACCGTTTATCCTTCCAAAGCATGACAGATGGGCTTGTCACACTGAAGACAATGAACTTGTCTCATTTGAGGTCACTTATCGTCTTCCCTGGGGCTACCAACTTGTTGCCACCTCTTTCGAGCTTCCATCTTCTGCGTGTACTGGATTTTGAAGGCTGCCATGACTTAGATTGTAATCAAATTGATGGTCTTGTGAATTTATTTCATTTGAGGTGCCTGGTATTGAAGGATACAAATATTGCAAACCTTCCAAAACAAATTGGGAAACTTGGTTGTTTGCAGAAACTGGACTTAAGGAACACTAGTATAAGTGTACTTCCATCAGCAGTTGTTCAGTTAAGAAAACTAGTGAGCCTACATATTGATAGATCAGTGATGCTACCAGTTGGGTTTGGGGGCATGAAATCTCTGCAAGCCCTGACATATATTGGTGTCAGCATATCCCCAAAGTTCATGAAAGAGCTAGGAAATTTGACTGAACTAAGGATTCTCCACATTTCACTGAGTGGTACAAGACAAATGAATTACGAGAAATCTTTACTAGATTCTTTGTGCAAGCTGAAAAAACTCCATGAATTGTTAATTTTAGGTGGACAATTGTCGAGATTGCCAAGGTGGATCAGTTCCTCACTCTTATGCATCCGCACATTAGACATGAAGCTCAACACATTAGCCCTGGAGGATTTAAAAAATCTTGGGGCCATAGTGTGTCTGCTTGATCTCTGTCTTATGGTGCTAAATGATGAAACAGAAAGATTGGTTGTTGGTGTTGACCGTGGAGAGTTCCAGTGTCTTGTTAGGCTTTCGTTTGTCAGCAATGCAATGAGGATAATATTTTCAAAGCAAGCTATGCCAAGGCTCGAGAACCTTGAGCTTGCCTTTAGAGTTCAAGAGAGTAAGGATTTTGATATCGGCTTGGAAAACCTCTCTTCACTTAAGCATGCCACCATAAGAATCGATTGTTGGGGTTCCAGTGTTGATGAGGTGGAGCGTGCTAATGCTGCTATTCAGAGGGCAGTGTTCTTGAATCCCAATCACCCCAAGCTTGATGTGATCAGGCATTTTTACAATGACATGGTAGGGGATGATGAGATAATAAGTGTCCATGATGACATGAATGAAATAGAAGAAGAGGTAATTTTATTTACTTATACTGCAACATAGAGGTGTGATGATGACTTGGGCACTTGGTACTTGGTATTGGTAGTGATACCAAGTGTTCGCACATAGTTTTCGAGGGGGTACTTTTTGTTATATTAGTAAGATGTCTTCCCAAGAATCACTATTAGACACTTGACACTATCATTTCATATGGTTTTGGTAATTTGGTTCAACTTGGATCTTTCATGCAGATTTTGGCAGACAAGATGGGCCCTTGGGGTGGAAATGGTGGGGTTGCTTGGGACATAAAGGTTGCTTCCTGTCATTTGGAAAGTGTGACGATTTGTAGTGGTACGATTATCGATGCAATTTCGTTTTCTTACCGTGATGGAAATGGGAGGCAGCACACAACTCAATATTGGGGCGGCACTGGTGGCAGTGCTTATTCGGTGAGTTTATTACTAGTCTGCAAGACAATCATGATGCATAGTTTTGGTTCTTATTTTAATTTCTGTAGTCCAAATACAGCAAGCCGGTGATCTCCAGCATGAATTATATACAGTTTCCTCGCAGGTGATACATGCAGATTAATTTCTCCATTTCTCTTGCAGATTCGTCTTGGGGCTACAGAATTTCTCAGGGAAGTGTCTGGAACAGTCGGGCCATTCTTTTCAATACCCAGCGCTGTAACATCACTTAGGTTAGTGTCCAATTTACGTCGGTATGGGCCTTTTGGAGTGCCGCTGGGAACTCCATTCTGCAGTAAGGTCAAGGAAAACAACAGCATTGTTGGTTTCTTTGGGCGGTCAGGGGCGTACCTTCATGCACTTGGTGTGTACGTTCGTCCTGTCTGACTCAGCTACTGCTACATCTGATCGTATTCGGAAAGTGAGTCTCATCCGATTCTGACGAAGTGTTCCTTCGGCCTTCTCGCACAGTTGATCTTGTGTCAAGAACTCAATATTAAGCTTGCTTTTCAGATTTCAGATCGTCTTCAGTCTTCTTGTCTTCTTATTTGTTCCCTCTTTTTCTTTTGCGAGTGTCAATCTTCATATGCAGTACGTGTTTCTCCAATCACTACCAACCCCCTAATCTTGAGCGGGGCAATCACAAGCTTATTGTCTATTTGTCTAATTAACAAAGTTCAACGGATGTGCTTCGTAGGTAACAACATTCTATAATCTGTAGCAAATTATAATATTCAATAATTTAAATCACTATTTCTAAAAAATGAAACAATTAAGCAGTTAAAATAACCAGGGAAAAAAGAAAATCCCATCCATCTCAATAATTAAAATAATCAAGGAAACAAAAAGAAACCCGGGTGAAGGCATGTAGTATTTTGGGTCACTTGATCCTACTCGTACAAGCATCATGACCCATATCATCTACTAGATTTTTGTGCCACACTATGCTCCATAATTCATTATATTAAAACATAATTAAATTCAATAGTTTAGAAAAACTCAATTAAATATATTAAATGAAGGGATGCAACATGCTTATGCATGACAGGGTGTACGTAGCCATATAGGCAAACACAAACTACTTTTAAAAAAATTATCTAGGACAGGGGACCAACGCCCCTGACGATCCTAACGACGCTTCACTGTCACTTCTACGTAGTCTGGATGATCAACATTGATTAATTATAATAGATAACGAGATCTTCTACTAGCAAATAAGCATCAGCTGAGTCCATCAAGATTCAAACAGTTTCAAGTTAGACACCATAAGATAGAGCATGATTTTAGAAGAAAAAAAACTAGTTTCATAAATTTCCAAGCTAAAACAAAAATTCTATGAATTTTCTAAGATTAAACAAGATTTTTTATTTTTATTGAATTATTTTTCCATGCAAGAATATTTAGATAGATTGTTGAAATTTATTTTTACGATTTTTGGATATTTTTTTAAATATTTGTAGTCTAATTTATCTCCAAATGAACTTTCAAGGTAGTTCGATTTACCCGCCCACCATCAAAACCACTTAGGATGAAAAACACAAATGGTTTAAAAGTTGAGAATGTTAAAAAAAACCCGGTCTTATAACGAGGAAGATCGGAGTTAAAACTTAAAAGGAACTTTTCCATTGTTGAACAAGGTTAAACAGATTTTTTTTTTCTCTATATTCCAAAAGATCTGTATCTTGGAATTCTCAGACGGCCTGGCCCAATATCCAGGAGTCCAGTACACACCCATGGGAAGCCCACAGCCCACGGAGTAGCCATCCCCACTTCTCCCCACCGGCCGCCGAATTTGGTCGATTGCCGGCGCCGGCGCCGCTCGCTTAATCCCACTCCTGTCTCCTCATCCAGCACAGGGGCCGACCGCTGCTGCCTGCCTCTGTTGGCGTTTGGCGATCGGAGATGGATGGAGAGGAGGAGAACGTCGGGCCGTTCCGTCGGACCAGCGCCCGCACGCGCCGCATGGCCACACGCATGGCGTCCGCGCTCGCCAGCTCTGACAACCGCGCCCAGGTAACGAGGAGATTCGAGTCAATTGACTGCTTCTGCTTCCCCCTCTTCCTCCTATTCCAAGCTGTTTCCCTCTCGTTCATGAAATTACCCCCCTTTATGTTCTGCTGCCCAGTTATGAATACCTTCATATCTGTAATGCCATGCAGGCTGCTTTAGCTCGCCTTGAAGCTCTTGAGAGCGACAATGCCGGGGTTGAGGTGGTAGATCTTAATGATGACGAGTACGGAACCATGGATGAGGAAGACCCTGGTCAGTTCCTTTCTCATTTAGCTTCGTAGTAATAGTAATGCCATGATGTCAAAAAGGATAAGTTAGATACAGTATGTTCAAGCTCGATGACAAAATATTACTCTTTGCAAGCGACAAGTACTGAAACACAGATTTCTTGTGTATGACATATTCTGATATCACTTCTAGTATCAATTTTGCAGAGGAAAAAAACAGCATTCTGTGTTTCTTATCCTTGCATCGATGAATAAGAATTAAAACTATCCTTCAAAGGAAATATTTGAAACATACTTTTGCTTCAACACATCTGGCATGAACAACCCCACAAAATATTTCTAAGGTGACTGTTATTAGCATCTGGAATTGCCCCTAAAGCCAGTCGTTTGGACACCTTTGAGGTCCGCATGCTACAGCCTACAGCTTGTCAACCTTGTGCTGTTAGCATCTGGAATGCCCCTAAAGTCAGTAATTTATTTATAGATATATTTGAACTCCACATTATACAAGGCTGCAACTTGTCAACTGTAAAGATTCCGGTGTTCACAGTTTCTGTAAATGTTGCATTTGTGTTCTATACTTATATGGGCCTTTTGGGTTGTGGATTTGTGGATGCACATTCAACTCAAATGCTCTACCCACTGAACTAATTAAAATTCGATGACTGAAGCCATCTTTTGTGTTTGAATTTCATTTCTACAGTCCTTATGCAAAAGAAGCAGTCGAAGATTATGAAACGCAAGACAAGGCAAGGGAAAGCTTTGGAGAAAAAGGCAGCAAGATCAATCATGGATGTCTTACAGGAAGTAAGCAACCTTGTGCTATTAAGTTTGTTTCTTGCCATGTTTATTTTGTTAGTAGTGTACTTGAAAGATTTTTACTCTGGATCTGTGACAGGCAAATCTGGAATCCCTGCCTCCTCATGTCCCAACATATTTGAGGGCTGTTGTGGGTCCACCAAGCACTTCATCTCGACGGCACTACTGTTCAGTCTGTGGTAGTTCTGCAAACTACACGTGTGTGAGGTGCGGAACAAGGTTCTTGTCGGGTTTATAAACCCGGGGTCCCTCGCGGACCGGCCTCCCAATAAAGGTTCGACCCAAGCAGACAAAACGCACAACTCATGGGCCGAACCAAGTACCTAAATGACAGGCCAACGGGGCAATCGAATCTCCGACCGGGAGGCCTGGCCGAGGAGGAACAGCGTCCACTTTCCGATTCCGGCCCACCTCTCCGACTGGAGCACTTGCTTCGGTCTCCAGCCCGCCTCCGGACGGCCTCTTCGACCGGAAGGCCTGGCCAAAGCACTACTTCCGACTCCGACAAGGGATGTGCCAAACCCCTGCTCACGACTCTTCTCCGACTGGCGCGATCAGAACCGACTGAGACCAACCGACCGAGGACGCCTGCTCGGAATGGACAAGGAAACGAACGGAGAAAGCAAGGCAGGGCGTACAAGTCAAACCACGATACTAGGGACCGTATCCTGTACACCTGCAGAAACAGTACTCTGCAACCTCCCCGGCACAACAGAACCCAAACAGTGTTGTAGACGTCGACATTTTCCCCTACAGTATTGTGGGCGCCGTTAACTCCCATATGGTAAGGCTCCCCCCACATGCCTCTGGACATCGACAGTGTTGTGGGCGCCGACATTTACCATACCGAGTGAACATGGTAAAACTCTTCACATGTCTCTAGGCATCAACAGTATGGCAGGTACCGACATCTGCCATACCTGAACAAGACGACGCAACCTCCCACGTGCATCTGACATCCAATAGTGTTGTGGGCGCCTACCATCATCCTATACCTGTCGGCGTGGACAACAAGGCTTAGAAGCATACATACTCTCTCCCTCTCACTTATAAGGTGCCCTTCATCTATAAAAGATGATGCGCTCTCTCCCAACATTCAGATTCAAAAGATCGATAAAGTTCACTAGTACACAACCACAGAACCGCCAGGTTCGAACCACAAGCACACGCTTGAACACTTAGCTCATAGCAGGGCTCCCGTCACTCTCGGCCCTTCCAACCGGAGTCCAACCGGACCTCTTGTACCCCTTATCTTTCTCCTTCTTGTTTGTAACCCCACTGCAAACTTCGAGCACCTGGGCTCAGGAATAAAGTCACCGACCGACTCAAACTGAACGTAGGGCACGTTGCCTAAACCAGTATAAACCCTGTGTCATTGAGTGCTAGGCCATCTCCGATCACAACGTACGGCAAACTTATAAATATTTACTTGTTGGTCACTTTCTGCACCGACAGTTGGCGCCGTCCGTGGGGAAGACGCTGTACGTTCAATACTTTTTTGTCATCGGATGACCCACTTTTCCGCCACCCTCGCCATGGCGGGCTCAGGTGATACGATTCACTTCGGCTCACTAGAGTTTCCCACACTCCCACCTGTTGGGATGTGGGTTCCACCCGTTTCCGGGCCATCCCAGGCCTTCCTCTTTGGAAGCCTGGACTTCGTCGCCGACCGGCTCAGCGCACTACACCTCTGCGAGGAGGCACTCGTTCCGGCGCCCGTCGGAGGGGCGCCCTCCATCGGCTCCGGGACGCACGACGACTTCAACAACAAGGCATCTGCGCTTCATTCCGAGCAAACTCTCTGCTCAAACCCTGCTGTGAGTAATATGCATACTGTTATTTACTCTCTATTTACTATCTCCCGCTGATTATTCGGAGGGACCTTATTGACCGCACCGCGGACACCATACGACCGGTTCCCCTACGGCCTCGCGCCCCCCGCAGACGCGTGTGCTCGGGGGCTCCGAAGGACGTTGCCGTCATCCCCTCTCACGTCCGAATTCGTGGGAATGGCGAGCTATGCTCCTGCCACTTTCCACGAACTCCCAGATGACGAGGGTGAGAGCGACGGCTCCAGCATCGGCGACGTGGCACCTAGCCACCGTCCGTCCCGGGAGTGCGCTATGGCGGACGCTCCGGGACAGCCGTCGATCGTTGCGGAGTCTATGCAGACTCACACCCCTCCAGACCCACGTGCGGGGACCCTCGTGTTTGCGCGAGTGCACGCCAAGGAACTACGACAACGACGGCAGAACCAGCCGCCGCCTGCGCCGGCGCGCTCGGTACAACACGTTGCGCCCGATGCGCATGGCCTGGTGGGTGGCCCCCGGGGTCACGCCCGCTAGGTCCAACACGATATCATGAACGAGGCATTGACCCCCCACAGTTCGCTCGGGCTAGCCAGAACATCGCTGCTGCGGCGATGCTTCTGCGCGGCGTTCCTGAGCCCGTGGACCCCCAGGAGCGGGAGGTCTACCGGAACCTCCGGGTGCTGGTAGAAGCCGTCGCCATTCAACGGGCGGAAAGCTCCGCATCGTGACTCCGACACGCGTCCTCTCTCCCCACCGGGGGAGTGGGGACGCCCCAGACGGGTCGCTCCATCCGATCGCCGCTACAGCCGCCAAGTGCGGCTCGGGAGGCAGCGGCCGCGCCACGGTCCGACCTGGCGCCTGCTCTACACCGACCGCCGGTACGCGAACGGCCCGGGCCGCACCAAGACGCTCGCAGCATCATTAGCAACTAGCATTAGGCCCGGCACGATGATGACGTCCACTGGGCGACGATGAGGGTAGGCGACACGGATCTCGGTCGAGCCATCGAGGGGAGCGGTGAAACGCGCCCAAGCATGGTCGCCGGCCAGACGACCGGAGTCCCAGCCCTGAGGGCCCAGGACCACGGGCCTATGATTGGCGTATCTGGAGAGCGTCGTTCCCACAGCGCTTCCGACCGCCCACCAATATCACAATGTACACCAGGGAGACAAACCCCAGTATTTGGCTCAAAGATTTCTGGCTCGCCTACCGAGCCGGAGGGGTGGATGATGACTTTTTCATCATTCAGTATCTCCCCATCTACGTGGAGGAACATGTTCGGGCATGGCTTGAATTCCTCCTGCACGACACATCCGCCACTGGGCGGACCTCAAGAGGGTCTTCGTCGGAAATTTCTAGGGGACGTATGTCCGCCGTGGAAACTCCTGGGACCTCAAGAGCTGCCAGCAGGAGCCCAGCGAGTCCCTACGGGATTACATCCGTAGGTTCTCCCAATGATGCAACTCCATCCCTGATGTTGTCGACGCGGACGTCATCAGCGCATTCCTCTCGGGGACGACCTACGAGTCCCTGATCCACAAGCTTGGCTGTCTGAAGCCCTGTACCACCCGTGACCTGCTCGACGTTGCCACTAACCATGCCTCCGGCGAGGAGGCGGTCGGAGCAGTCTTCAATGGAGGCCGGAACAAAGGCAAGGCCAAGCGCACGGACCAAGACGAGGGCCCCTCCACACAGAGGGGCAAGAAGAACAAAAAGGATCGGCGCTGATCGGACAACTCCGCGTTGGTCGTCGTAGCTGATCGCACGGGCAAGCAGCCCCAATAGGGCCTACCTGACCACTTCAACAAGCTCATGGATAGCCCGTGCACCAACCACGCCTACCCCGTCAAACACCTTTACAAAGATTGTGAGCTCCTCAAATGTTTCCTCCGACAGGCCAGCACGTCGAAAGAAGGAGATGGCAAAGAGGCAGCAGCCAAGAAAGGAGGTGCGGTGGGCAAGGACGGAGATGGCTTCCCCGACCCTGAGGAATGCATCATGATCTTCAGCGAATCTGACGCCATCTGTGTAACACCCTCGGTGTTACATTGTGCTATTTTTGCTAAAACACTGCATGAGCATCATACTTGTCTGTGGATGTGTGTAATATAGTAATGTACATAACTTGAAATGTTCGTCGGAAGCA